TTGTCCTCATGGAAGCAGTTTGCCAAGGTTATAAGCGCTTCGAGATGCTGCCGGTGTGAGCCAAGTACCGCCATATTTCGAGTATAGACTGTAGCGACAACAAATATACCTTAACAAATTGTGGCTGCACCGCTAAGAGGAGACTGTTCAGGAGAGCAACGGTAGTGTTTTTGGTATCAAAATGCGATCGGCACTTAATGGCCCGATCACGGAGTGATGAAATTCCGATATGCGATTTGCTGATACAACGCTTCGTCGATAAAGGCATTATTTTTTCGTGTAAATTCACGTTTCAGACTAGTCTGCATGCACGTGGCGCATTGGCAGATAACGCTGGTTTGCACTAAAAATTAAAATCCTAGTGGGGCAATTAATCTCTCCTCGATCCGTTCATTCGTTTCGATGGCAAACTGTGTATTCCCGGGAGATAAATCGGCAATCAGGTTCCTTATGAGCAACTCAAAATAAACCATCGGCAGTTTAATCAATGAATGATTTGCTTCAGACTACCGAAAGTTTTTGCCTTTCATCGACAATGAATCATGAAAAGCATTTTGTCTAACATAGATGTGTTTCCTGAATGTTAGTATCAAGCATCAGAAGCCCCTGTGTATTTCCTCTCTATGAAAGTTGAAAGCCACTGAAGTAGTCCGACTGGTAGCAAATGCCAACATGAATCACTGGCTGGTAAGGCTGCCGGCGGTTCCACTTTTAAGATTTGCTTACAAGCAAACTGATAGTGAGTTTAACTCCGTGGTATATGCTATAAAAATGAATGAATGAATGAACAGTAGGGGAATGAATGACACATGTTATGACGAAAAATATTCGCAACGATGAAAAACAAATGCACTCTGAAACTTTCCAGAATATTTGAGAACAGCCATTCTCCAATTTTTCCATTTGCATTTCCTATTTATTTATTTGAGTTCGATATTTTTGGGTCAGTTCTTGTTTTTCACCAGTGCACCAACAGCTATTTCTCCTCCGAGTTAAATACAATTTTATGATTCTAATGACGTTTGTTGATATTATTGGAAAATCGCACAGCTGCTCAGAGCATCAAAATAACTATCCGTGTGATTCGACGTTAATAACGTGTTGAAAAATGGCATGGCATTAAGCTGAATTCCATCGCTAGCTCCATTAGTTTTGCAGGTCTGGCTCGATTTGATCGTCAACTGGCAGTAAATGCACCGGAACTTTGTGGCCGTGTGCATTTGTTCTTTGTCAGCGCACCGGTTTTTCATGCTCTCAAAACCGGTGAGATTGCAGCACTGCTATTTTTGTTGCACGAACGCGCAGTGTTCGATTTTCTCAAGCAGAAACGGATGATCGCTGAGATGTTGCAGTCATCAGTGATTCCGGAAGCTAGATCCAGTGCTTGGTTTAGTTCCGAAGTTGTCAATTCCTCGTTTCCGCAGCTTACTTGAACTTCAATATTTTTACACTTTAAAAACGCTTAGGCCTTCTTATAAGCGAGCGAAAGATGAGGAGAAACTTTTTTCTTTTAAAGAATCTAAGCAAAATTTTTTGGATTACTTTTAGTTTTACACATTTTTGTAATTTCGTTCTTGCACCTATTTTTTTAATAATAGCTTTGTATTCTGAAACGACGGTTGTGTCAATATTTCGAACAGCTGTTACTTTGCCGTCAAGTTTTTTTTCAAGTTTTCATTTTTGACGGCATTTTTTTGATTTTTTCTGGTTTCGAGTTTGGCACAATGAAACAACTAAGTGCAGGTGTTTGGCAAGATTCTTCTATGTATTATCAACAGATTCCCTCTTCGTTTTATGTGCGGAAGTACTCTTCATCGTTCCGCTCTGTTACCAACAATTTTCGCGTGACCAGCCCAGCTCTTTCTCCAAATGTATAATATTTTCTAACAACCCTCTTCATTTCAATAAGCGACCATAACATTTATGACTTCTTTTGGTTCTTTACTATTTCTCGCTAGCCAGAATTTTTCGTCAAATAAAGGAATGATGAATTTTTTGGAGTGTCACATTGGAAAATTCGCTTTCGCATATTCATTAAAATTTTAATAGAAAAGAATCACCAAAAAAA